GAGAGAGAGAGAGAGAGAGAGAGAGAGAGAGAGAGAGAGAGAGAGAGAGAGAGAGAGAGAGAGAGAGAGAGAGATTATGATGCTTGTAGAGGAAACTCTTGGGTTGAAAGCTCTTGTGTTTTTACTGTTAAAGGACTGATGGAAACTTCGGGTCTATGTGAAAGCTATCACAATTCCCACTTCTTTTTCCCTCACTTGACATCATCTTTTCCACCACCACGTGTAGTGAACTCCGGAAAAAAAGTTCGATAAACCCTCGTCAGATCCAGGACGAACCATTATCGTAAGATCCATACTGTGGTAATTTGAACTTGGTGTATGTGTTGTGGTGGGCAAAATTCTCTTCAAATCACCTTCACCCTGGTCACCGGTGGTAATCCTCATTCTTTATTCGTATTGGATGAATGGATGGATGGGAACCCCTTGCCAGTAAACTGGAGTTGGCTTCACATACTTCCACCATTTTTTTAAGTTTGCAAATTGCAAAAGCTGGCGAGACATTGCTCTAAAATTTTCTAGAACACATACAGCGGCGAAAGTCATACGAGCTAAAGCCCTAAAGGAGCATTTCTCACCACAACACGCCCTGTTTCCGGTAGCCAGAACCCTTCAGGATGTTGCCAAATGCAGGGCCCTGTTGGGCTATTTCAGCTTTCTTGTTTAAGGGTTCCAGCTACGATCTGAAGGGCCTGTGTAAATTAGATTTCTTCTTTTCTTTTGCGAATCTATGCCTTCCGACGGGTCTGTTTTCTCTCTCATAGCTTTCCGACGGGTCTGATTTCTTCTTTTCTCTCTACGAGCTATGCTTTCCATGATGATGGTGACCTGACAGGGAGCAGAACAGCTTAATTTTTTTTACGAGACAAATTGATTGCCCAAGTACTTGTTAAAACTCCGTTGCACATTCGCGACAGTTGCTGTTTACATGTCATGTGATGTTGCTGCCAACCCGATTGAACTTACTGTATTTTGTTTTGCCTCCGTTTCAGGTATCAAATCCTTCAACTCCAACAGATACGGAGATCAGTATGTACATTTCAGAGTACAGATACCAACGTAAGTGCTCTCTCACTCTCTCATTCTCTCTCTTTCTATATATAGGGCAGTTCTATTTGTGACGATATATATACATGTGTGTGTGTGTGTCGGGAGTGTATTTTGGCTGTGACATACCTTTGTCTGTTTCATGGGTGTTTTGCTGGGTTGTGATGGTGTGTGAACCGACAGTCTGTAGAGTTTTCCATCTGGTATGGGTGAATGATAGTCTGCTTTGATTTTCGTGGCAGGTACCTCGAGGGCAATGGTTGGTCCTCAAAGTGGACGAGTGCAAGGACCAGTTAATGTCTCGTCCGTAGTCCGTTGAACCTCACATCGCTAAAATGAGGAACAGGGGCCTATTGGACCCCTCGTGGTAATAAAAAATATGCAGTGGTTCTCCGTTGCTGATCTGCAAAAATCAGCGGCGGAGATCCTCCGCCCATTTTTTTCAACAAGTGGGGTCCTAAAGGCCCCGTTTTTTTTCAAAAGGGAGGCAGTGGGCCCCCGGGGTCTGGGCAGTTGTGTGGATGCCCGTGACTCCCGGTACCCCTCCCCCCCAAGCACGATGCGCTGGGTTGGGGTGGGGGCCTGCCGGTGCGGTGGACCGCCCCGTCCAACCGGCAGGCTCCCGGTCGGGGGAGGGCTCCCCGGTCCATCCGGAGGACCAGCACCAGTTTAAATACGTAGAACTTTGGATGAAATCTTGTGTGTGCGTAATGTACGTTAAGTGGGGGCACCCCATGTTGGTCATGGTTACGGATCTCTGTTATATCCACCATGATTTCATTTGTGTGTGTGTGTGTGTGTGCGTGTGTGTGTGTGTGTTCGTGTGTGTGTGTGTGTGTGTGTGTGTGTGTGTGTGTGTGTG